TTAATCTTTTTCCGATAAATCTCTCTGCTTTCTCGTCAGCGTGTCTTTTTCCAAACTTTCACGAACCAATTTATTTCAAACCTATCTCTTAGACGTGAAAAGCGATTATTTGGCTTCCCTCAAAAATGAAATTCGAAAAGAGATTTTTTGTATTGGACTATGTTTGGTGATTCGAAAAATTTTACTAAAAAGCATAACTGAGGACTGAGTATCCTTAAAATTAGGATCCATTGATTTGTCTTGAATCTTTTAAGAGTTTGAGTACATCTTTCTACTTATCCGCAACCATGGTGGTCATCGACAGGACAAAAATTTTGTTTAATTCCAATTTCTTTGCAAGTCTCTGACATATGACATTTATAAAACCTGAATATTGATGCACACGTAATAAATAAGGTGTACTGTATTGTTTAACAAACCCTTAAAAATGGATGCATTTTTCCTCTGTTGCTTTGGTGAAAAAAACAGGGATAATTGGAATAACTGTCTGTTGATAATGAATTACATAATTTTTTGTGATTCATTAGTGGGCTGGCGAAATCCAATTGCATTTCTTTATTTGATGCAATCAATTCAGGAGATCGATCAGTTGATTTAAATGGTTCTGATGTTTTGATATTTCTACCAGCTTTTGAGCCTTGTCGGGAATTCCGACAAAATGCAAATATTTTACGGTGCATCAGTGGCCAATAAATGTAGACTGGGGCTTCTATCGCCGTTTTTTGCCTGGACGAGTCCTGTGTAGACGGTTGAGAACGGCTTTTTTTAAATTTAAAAAAAACAAAATAGGGCAGCGACTTTTTTTATATGTAATGGCACAATCATCAGCGGTTGGCAGCATCATCTTAAATGTTGGCTTTAAAGTTTCCTAATTGCATGAATCCTCATCTATATATGGCCAAATTGCACTTTCTCAGGGGCACCAGTCGAATGTCTTCGACCATCTAACAAGTTGTATAACCTTGTTGTGAGGGACTTTTTATCTGCTGACACCATCGATGTATTTCTTGTGGCCACTCGTTCACTTGGTTCACCATGGTGTTGATTTAAATAAGTTGGTTGACTTGCTTGATCCAAAATTGGTCAATCTTTTGTCATAATTTGGTTGTTGATGTTGATTTGAACCTTTTTAGCCCGATTTGTTGCAGTTCTTCAACCGAGAAGCGGCGTCGGCCTGCTCCGACTGCCAGTTATCTCTGCCATAAGCTTTGATGTGCCTGGAAATTGATCGTTGACAAAATAATTTCGCTATTTGACATCTGATTGTTTTTAATTGTTTAAAATTCTGTCCAAAATAATTTCCAATTTTACAAAAATTATGATCTTTGTACGAGATTAAGGTAAGAGACCAAGCAGAGTCTCTAAAACCTAAAATGATACGAACGCTGCTTTCTGAATAGTTGACTTGGTATCCGTCGGCTTTTTTTGTTTTCATGTCCTTTGCATTGAAAGTTTGCTCGGGGTTTTTGCTCAAAGTTGATTTGCTAATAAGACGCTCGTAATTCCTGCTGCCTTCGGTTGAAGTTACGCATTTTCGTTGCTTGATCCTGATTAGTCTGGTTGGTGTTGCCCCCTTTTTGCCGTCTCTGAGAGACACTTTGCATATTTCATGGTTGAAACATGATTGGTTCTTGTTCCTGAATCATATCGCGCCAGAGGAATTTTTTGTTAACATTTTCTGATAAAACGAATATTCTAATTTGCCTAAAAAATTTTCAGCTGTAAATTCTGATTCAAAGACTTTTTTGTAGAAATTTTCTGGGGAAAAAACAAGTTTTGTCAAAGTTCAAAATAATTTTGACTACGAATTCGTCATTTCAAGTGAACTTTCGTGCTGGCATTGTAGGAATTCTGCAAAAATATTCTGCGTTACCGAAATAAATTCCGATGTTAGTGATAATGAAAAAAATCAAACGGTAATAAATAATCTGCCCATATTTTTAGGCGTAATTGATACGTACGACTTCCTCTGTTCTCCTTGAGTGCCGAAACTAAACCTTTTTGTTCTGTTAGAGCATAAAATTGGTTGCTCAACAAATAGTTTTTCAAGTTTTTGAAAAACCAGACTACCGCCAATAACTCTAGCTCATCAGTAGAGTATTTCTATTCTGCCTAGTTTAGAAACCCAGATGCGAAGGCAATGGGGCTCAAATTCCTGGTTCGATCTCCAGTTCCAAAGCGGTCTCCTATCCTCTGTGGTTCTTATCACATTTATTTTTTGATGTTTTTTGAAATTTTCGTAATATCATTAAAAAGATTTATGATTGCATTTGATAGATTTTTACTTAAGTTCATATGAAATATTGTTTATTGCTATTTAAGTGAAAGTATTAGGTTTTGTTTCTTTTTATACGTCTAAGATTGATCTTGACAAGTGATTTAAATTTTCCATGAAGGACCTCAGTTGTTTCAAAGTTTGTGCTCAGTTAGATTCAATCCTAAATAGAATTTTGCTCGTTTCGGACGGATTACTTCTGGATCTATTCCAAATCAAACCATATCAGTTTAATTTTTTTGAAGTCTGCATTCGCATCCTTTTTCTTTGAACCTTCCGTCATTTAATCTTTTTAAGACTTACTCCACTGTTATGCTGGGATCTAAGATGAAACTCTCTGAAACGTGTAGTATGTCGTCCACTAAACAGGTTAATCCTGGTATTCATTTAAATTGAAATCCATTGCCTTCTGAAATGTTTTGGGCATATCTGTGAAAGAGTGGAATCCCGTTTCAAATCTGTAATATTTAGTAAAATCACCACAAACAACACTTAATTACATTTTACTCACGGACTAGTCCATAGATAACTGGCTGAAGGCATTTTTCAGGTATATGGAATTCAATCATTTTCCACTTGAGAACTCGACGTGATGCTTTTGGGCTGCTAAACCTAGTGATTTCAATAAATTTGGTAATTGGATTTTGTTTTTGAAAGTTTGTGCATTCGTAGATTACGCGTCCTTCGCTAATTTAACTGAGCCATCTTTTTTGCAGTTACTACTACTGGAGCTACAAAGTCATCTGATATGCATCAAGTCTGGTTATGTGCCTTTCCTCAATCAATTTTTCAATGTTTTTGGTCACTGATTGTGATTTGGCACCAGGCGAATTTTTTCCTGAAAAATTATTTATGGAGATTTGAAAAGTTTGCAATTTTTGTGGTTGTTCGTTCTGTCGAGGCGATTAAATTCGTTTTATTTTTCTTCAGGAGCTTGTTTCTCCAAAAGTTTGATTCTTTAGATTTTTTGTTTTCGGCAGTTTCGATTTCTCCAAGCTTTTGAATTTCTGTCGTTTTAACTTGCGTATTCGCTAAGCCGATCTTGGGTTGTAGGTTTGGTCTCGTCAAGCATCTTGTTTGGTTGTATGATATTCTACAGTTTTCGTTACCCAGCTGTTTGAAGTGATATCAATGAATTTTGTGCCGAAGAGTTCAATTGAGCGGTGGTTGTAGTCGACGTCATTTGTCTTCAGTGGATACTCGTCTGGGCAAAATACTCTTAAACCTTTATCTTTTTTCAGTAAGTGATCCGCTGTTTTCTTACTTTTGAATAAGGCCGGGTGCGCTGAGTTTTGACCCTTTGCCTGTGGCTGTACTTATCACTTCTAGGTTCTTGACTGATTCTGCTTCACGATTGTTATTCCGACTTTCGATACGAAAGTAACGGAATATTTGTGCTCGGGGTGGGTTTTTTTTTCTTCAGACAAATTTCGACTTTTTAACTAGCCATTTTTGACGTAATTTCTTTACATCATTCGAAAAGTATTGTTGTCCTGAGCTCAAATTTGAAAAGATATTTCACCTGTGATCTTTTTTTGTAAAGTTATGGGGGTTTAAAGTTTGCCATTTTGGCCAATTTGGGACAATTAACGCGCGATATATTTCGCGCTATTTACGCGTAAGCGGAGAGTTAATCAGTTTTAGAAATCGTTCCAAATTGGTTAAAAGAAGCTTATTTGGCATAATTGGTGTGTTACAATGAGCGAAATCTCTCCTTTTCTACTTTGTATGGCGTGTGGGGGGATGATTTTCATAAAAAAAGTCAAATTTTAGAAAAAAATTTTTTTGATTTTGTTTTATTTTATTGAATTTTTTAATGTTATTACTGCTCCATAAATCTTAAAAGGCAGTCGGAACATTCAGGGCTTCGCCCTGATACGAGCAGTCTTGTTTTATTTTATTCTTAATACTTTATAATCGGATTCACTGTCCGAGTTCACGAATCTCAGTCGTTTTTTTCAACTGATACTACTTTTTGGCAGCATTTTGAAATGTGGCTTTTCTTTCCGTGACTGTTACATGTTGGTCCTTTCGCTACGCATCTGTCTTTGTCCTCTGGCGTGAACTTAATCCATCAAAAGTAACAAGGTTTGTTTGCATTGGACGTTTTGTTGCATAAATTAAGACCCGAGTATATATGCCTCTGCCTATCTCCTAGAAGGCTCTATCGACTCGATTTTGTACAGATTTAAGCGATTGGGTGGATATGGTGGCGGCTCATGTTTAATCTTGAATGGGTTTCCATAAGTACTCGATTAGAGATTCTGATTCTGCAAGGTGTTGTCCTTTACGTATCCTTTTTTCGCCTGCTACACCTGTCTGATATCGGCATTGTATCTCGCTTTTGTATTTGCTTCGGCTTTGAGAAACTTCGTCAGTGGATCGTCGTGGACTTGTCCCGGAGTTACAAATAAGTCGTTTAGGTCGCAGTTTTTGCGTAAATATATGGCAGGGAAAAATTGACCTTTTCAAAAATTCTTTGGTTCTGGCTACGGTTTCGCCCAAAAGGCTCGTTCTCCCGCCATATATGTGTTCTTTTGTCCAAATATTGGACTGCTAGCTGCGTCATGTGATATTCGTTAATTCTGTACGCTAAAGTCAAAATAAATAGTTAAGCTGAAATGAAGTAAATTAATGAGTTGTTTAATTACCTTTACGGATAATTAAATGAATTGAAAAAACTCTACTTTTAACAGTAGATAAAGCTGTGAGAGAGCGCGTTCAAACTCAGTTTTGGCATATCATGACTTGACAGGCTGTTGATTGATTAGTCCAAGTCGCAATAACTTAGGCTGATTTTGAAATATTACCTTATCACATATAAATTCTTCACTTTCTTCCGCCAAAGATCGAAACAAAAACATCAGTAATATTGCAAATTGTTGCAAAAAGCTTTTGTTCATACAGCCTACTCGAGTTCTAAAGCTAAACAAATCTAGACAAAAATTTACAAATTTTTAAACGCTCGAGTTTAAACTCGCAAAATTCAACACTCATAAGCTGCCAGTAATTTGGCGATGGAAGGGTACATTTTAATTCCTTCAACCATTTCTTGGGGTTCTAGTTTGCCATCTCCGTTGAAGTCAATTTGCTGAAATATCTTGTCTACTCGCAATTCAGGAGTGGATTCGTCTTCCGCGTAATCGACGTCGTCACCCATTAAATCAACTGCCTAAAACAATGAATTTTTGACAATCTAATGATTTTGTTTTTTATTTTTTTTTGTGAATAGTCGACAAGCACTCATTTTTGCTATTATTCTTTCAAAGAAGGTAGTTTATAAGATTTGAGAATATTTTTGCGACTGTTCTGTAAATCTGATTGAAGCTGCTGCAGTCTTGTGCGAGTTAACTTGTCTTAAGCATACTCGAAGTCGATTAGCCTCCATGTGAACACCACCCCCTCCCCCCGTTGCCGAAATCTTACTCCAAAATGAGTAATACGAGCTTTTTTTAGTTAATCAAGATTTACACAGAAGTTATCGAGTTAATTGATGAAAAAATTATATCAAAAGAAAACTTTAAATCAGCCCGACAATCTTCTACAAATGCAAAATGCTTAGAAACTTGTGTAGGTGAATATCTTTTTATTTAGTAGCTAAAAAAGGTCATTTTTATAGTATAAAAGGCCAAAACTTTGCTCAAAAACAAGTTTCAAACGTTTTGCGCATTTTTGGAAATTCAAATTTCTAAAGTTTTGTCACCTTGTTTAAGAGGCTTCTCTTAATATTACTTTCTCATCAATTAACTCGGAAAGTTTAGCCTAATTCTTGATTAAATAAAATAAACCAAATTGACTCATTTTTTGGGGTAAAGTTTTAATTGCGTTTTCGAACACCAAATGGCACCATGAAGTTTCACTTTTCGTCTAACCTTAATCCAATAAGAGAAAAACGCGTTTGAATTTTCCAATGTTTTTCTTTACGCCCGGTTAATTTAAATCAGCACTGCATAAGCGGTTTAGTACAGACTCACTTTAGTTTATTTCTATTTCTCTCGAAAAAAACTGCATTCTGATTAGTTGAAATAATGCATCGTTCAATTTGCAAAAAAGCAACATAACCAAGTTAAATTTAAAAGCTCCATCTAAAAATGGTCAAAGCAACGTGGATAGAAATTGGAGGTTTTATTGTTCAGACCATTGAAAATGGGGAGGAACTTTGTATTCTTGTGTGTTTTAGTTTTTTCTTTATGTTTTCCACGCAGAATCAGGTACCACAAAAAATAATCGGACTGGGTTGAGTGATATATCTTATTAAAGTCTTTTAAGTCGTGATTCAAATTACTTAATAACGTTTGCAAAAAGTTTTCCCGGCGTCGAGAAAAACTGGTTTGAATTTTTTACTTTTTGTCTTAATTCGAGCGAATAAAGCAAGCAAGCGAGCAGGCTTACAAGCTGAAATACGCCTAATTTAGGACCTTCAAAATTAATTTTAAGCAAGTAAAACTAGTTTTTTTGGAGTTTTTAGCTTCACTTAGGGAGCCAAAATTTTTCTGCAAAAAAAAGAACAAATTTTTGTTAATTTCGTTTCAGTTTTTCTAGCCATTTTTCTACAATTTTTTTTCCAATTTTCCTGTATTACTGTGATTGTCTTATATATGCTTAAATTTTTTTTTAACGTCAGATGCTGTCATGACACGAAGCAGAAAATACTACACTATATTGGAAAAAAACGGATCTTGTTAACTATTTCCCCCCATTTGGAATTTGTTAACTCCCCCCCTGCATTTTTTTTGACAACCACTTCTGCATAAAATATGCATTTCAAAAACGTCAACAATTAAGTGGGTTTTCATTTTCGTGCGTTCGTATTTGTATTACTCTTTAACTCTTTATTTATATAATACTCTCGTAAAAAGTTTTAACTATATATATTTTCTGAAAATTGTTTGAAATTGTGGCCGCCAAAGTTGAACTTCTGAAAGTCGAAATAGGGGGAAATAGTTAAAAAGATCCAAAAAAACTTTTTAATCCGTAGTTTTCTAAAAATTATGGTCGAAACAGCCTGTGCTACTTGCACTGTAACCGGCTATCCTTGTTTATTTTTTAAATGTCGCTTTTGATAACATCTTGCAAATACTTGCTGAGTTTTTTTAGGATCAAGCGTACAATTCCATCTACCCCTTCCCCTTATTGACCTAGAGTAGAATTTCTTACCAAAGCATGTATAAAACTTGAAAATTAATTCTGTATAAAATATGCAATGAAAGGCTACAACAATTAAATTGACATTTCACTTATCTTTCAATAATTAAATCTTGAAGATAGGAAATATACTAGTTTCTACCAAGTTATTTCCCCCTAAATCGGCTGGAATCCCTCAAACGCGAGGGACCGAATGCGCGAAAATAACAATCAGCCAATCAGATTTCAGTAGTCTAAAATTTGGAAAGAAAGTAAACATTTCCTGGGACTGAACATTGATACTGGCCGAATATAAAAACGGCAAAATTTTCAAACTGTCACTGACCGCCGCGAAATTGGAACAAATTGTATATTTCAAGGGTTTCGTTATGAAAACAGCAAAATATTGCTGCAATTATTTCATTTTAATTGAATGGCAATTGCTCTTTTTTAAAAATTGAGTTTTGGCTGATTTAGTTTTCGCTCATTCGGTCCTTCGCGCATGAGAATAGCCCCACCCCACTAAATTGTTCTAAGGGGATCATTGTACGCATGATCGGTTTCTCAAAGCATGCGAACAATTTGAAAAAATTTCTTCAAAATTTCGCACGTGAACAAAAAATTAGAAATTGAAGTCCAATACAATTAGCCGATAGGAAAAGGGCGCGCCGTATCCAAGAAGAACCGCGTATTCACACTCATCAGTAAGTAAACAAATTCAATATTAGTCAATCAGAGCAAGGTTGGATTACAATAAAAAACATAAGAACTAACTAATAATTTTTTATTTTGAGTGTTTACTTTTTGATCTCGATTCTGATTGCATAATGAAGTATTTATCCACTTACTTACTGTCAAAAACTTAGAAGTTAGTGAGGGCATAGATACTTAAACGCAAACCTTTTGGAATTCTTTCTCTTTGATTAGTGCCGCGTTGATTTCATAGCAGTATTTGCTGATTGGTTACATAGCAGGATTTAGACAAACGCGTATTCAGACGCGTCAGTATTTAGACAAATACTGTTTAAACAACTCAGAATCGAGACAAAGAAGAAATTAATAAATAATTATTTTTTATTTTGGATTATTAATGTCTTTTCTCGATTCTGATTGGTTCATACAGTATTTGTCTAAATACTGACGAGTATTTCTGTATAATTATTTTTTATTTTGGATTATTAATGTCTTTTCTCGATTCTGATTGGTTCATACAGTATTTGTCTAAATACTGACGAGTATTTCTGTATAATTATTTTTTATTTTGGATTATTAATGTGTTTTCTCGATTCTGATTGGTTCATACAGTTTTTGTCTAAGTACTGATGGTTGTCTAAATACAGGCTGCACTCCATGCTGTTTATATCATGTTTGGCTGATGAGATTTCGTAAGACCACTGCTGGCTGAACAGCTGAAGCCAGAGTCTTGCTTTTGCTTCTCATGAAAGTACCCGCATCCAAGTTTAGGCGTAAGTAATCAATTATACCGGATTATTATGATGATTTTTCGACAATTATAATCGATTATAATTACCAAAATTTGGTCTTTAAGGGATTTATAATTGATTATAATCGTGATATTTCTCAAGAGATTATAATCTCTCATAATCGATTATAATTGATTATAGTTCTTACTAAAAACCCTTAAAATCAATTATAATTGATTATAATCGATTTTAATCTCTTATTTTGCCGAAATTTTCCTATATTCGAATTATATCTTATGGGTTATTATTTTTGTGTCAATAAGCAAAACTCTAAAAAAAGATCTCTTGAACACTTTGGTTCATCTGAACTCAAAGTTTTACCACGAAACAAAAGTTTCATAGAGATCCTTTCATATGAGTGGAAAGGTTCTCGCGGTAGATGAAAAATAAATTTCCCGAATCAATCAAGAAACTAAATCAATTTGTTAATGTTTTGGTGTTTAAAGAAGCTTAAAATATGCATCATAAAACAACTCTAATGGGGAAGAAATGAAAAAAAAACTTATAAATTTGAATTAATTGGAAAACTTCAAAAATATTTTTCTCATTTTTCATAGGAACCAACGTCCACAAAAAGCAGAAAATATAAGCAATTTAGATGCAACTTCAAAGACAAAAATGGACATACAAAAAGGATTATAATCAATTATAATCGATTATAATGGATTTTTGTGCAAAATTAACGAAATAGAAAATTGAATAAAAATAATGGATTATAATCAATTATAATCGATTAGAATTGTATCGAAAAATAGATGAATAAATAATCTATTATAATCGATTATAATGGATTATATTTAATTATAATTTGATTTTTTTAAAAAAAGAGATTATAATCGATTAATAATTGATTAAAATTGATTGTATCTCAATTTTAGTGAGACTGGTACTAAAATCGTAAAATAAGCGATTATTAACGCTTAAAACTGGATGCGGGTAGTTGTGCAGTCGGTTGCTTTTTGTCCTTTCAATTTATAGCGCACCGGCTGAGTCGAGTTTTGTGACAGTATCTTGTTGTTGAGAGTCGATCATATGTATCGCCGCTCTATTCAGATAGGGTCAGCGTTAGTTGATTTCGTGAGCATGATGAACCATCAATTGGTGTTGATATCAAGCCTAATTTGCAAAATCTGGGAGATACTGAACCTACTAAAATTCTATAGTATGTTGAGTCCAATAGTTGTGAGCTTTCTGATGATGCTTTAAAAAGTTGTAGATTTGTGTCTGCTGAAGTTTGTGACAGCTTACAATGTTCAATGTTGAGATTTTTGAGAATGCTTCTTGTGAGAGTGTCTTGTCCTATAGGTTTGCTCCTATGGGAACTCAGCTTAATGTTCCTTAGCCACTAAGGCTATGGTTGTTTAAAAAACTTCTGATTTACTTAGGAGTGCATGTTTTCAATTTTTCGAGACGTTCCACATGTTTGAACTTTAAGACACATATCGTTCTTCGCGTTTTTCGATCCACACAATTTTGGTTATTTTCATCATGTAAATCTATTTGCCTGGTATAATACTGCTGTAGGTAACGTTTTTAATTAAATTTCATGTAGGACAATCAATGATTGAATTTTATTTCGTTTGCGGTGCTCTTTGTCATTTATCTTGGTCGCTGGATTCATTTTTTTTGTTTACTTGGTTCTATAAAATGAAAATGCGTCATTTGCTCACACATAAGAGTATAGGATGTACCGTAGTGTTCTTGTGGTTTTCTTGGTCTGTCGATTCGTTTATTCTTTTCATTGTGGTTTAATGCGTAGTTCGTTTTTCGCATGAAAATTTCATAATGATATGTTGATACCATTGATTATAAGCTTCTACATGATATAATGCAAGTTTTAGAAACTTACCTGCAATTGCAACTCTTGGAGGTGCTTGCTGTTTGCTTTGTTTTGGCGCTGGAAATTTCAAAGGCCTTGGTTCAAACTCTTGAACTGCTAATGTTGATCTAAAATTTATGATTTGTTTTTCTCTATTTTTTCCAGAACATTTGTGACTTTTCTCAACTTGGCCGTCACCTTAGGTACTACTGATTTCAATAATCAATAATTCACTTTATGTTTTTGTGTAAATATTTTCTGATTCCTCTAATTTGGCTGTATCTGGAATCGATTTGCTAAGTACGATTAATTCATATTTAACTGTAGATCAAAATCTTTAATCGTCTTTTTGCTTTTATTCATCGATTTTTTGAATTTGAATTAAAACGTCTTTGTCAAAACATCTTGTATTCTTTTTATTTGACTATGTTGTCTACGGTTTGGAATAAGTGAGATGTAATATTTGCAGCCTATCTAATAAAATGTATCTTTATGCCCTTGGGTCAAAATTGATTTTCACTTATCATTTTTTTAAAATATGCAGGAGGCCCAAAAAATTCTTATTGTTTTTGGGACCATTGTTTGTTCGAAAGATTTTGTAACGCTGAAGTTTTATTGGTTGATTTTTTTAATACGCTACTAAAATGTTTAGCTCTTTCTCTATGGCTCTTACCCAATTTGTAAGTTACCGTGGCTTTTGAATCCGCAAATTTTTTCTGACAAATTTGATTTTTTTTCGTCCAAGTCTGATAGATTGATATAAAATAAGCTGCATGCTCGATGCAATATGATGCCGAAAAAATAGCTTTGTCTCTTTTCATATGAAAATTTTTTTTGCTTTTTGGCTTCTGCTGCATCTCTTTTATGAATGATGTTTGAATAGAAATTAGGTTTTTTTTTCTGTAAGAACGTCTTTCCCTTGAAAATCTGAATTTAACTTTGTGTGTTCTTAGCTTGAATCTCAACATCAGCTTTGCCCAGTACATTGTCCTGAGTTATTATTAAATCTTTTTGATTCTCCCGATTGAGTTTGTTTTCACTGCTAAATCGAGTGCGTTGGCTTCTTTTTTTGATAGAAAGTCCTTTTTTATTTATGTGCACTACATGTTGAAGATTGTTTGTCTAAGTACAATTCTGAAGTGTCCTTTTATGCATAGCAAAATTTTGCTTTGGGGGAATCTGAGACCCTGCTTGCCTAGAGTCTAATGATGAAACATTCTGAAACATTCAAGAGAAATTTCGAACGATCTATTTTTTTTGGGCAGACATTGCATTGTGAAGTTACTCTTCGCCCTCACAAAATGCTCGGATTTCCTCTTAGTTTGTCAGCATGGTACAAATTGTTCGTATCGAGGAAGTAGGTCTTTCATTAATATCGGGTTGAACAAAGACAAATTTTCCCAGCGTGGTTGAGTTTGGTGTTCAATTCTTGCCCTGCCTCTGAGCTGAAAACTTGCCAGCTGGCGCATCACACTGACAACTTTTTTGTCTCATCGCTCTCGAACTTCTGCTTTATTGGTTTCCCAGCAGCTTGACAAACGCTTTTTGGCTTTTCTGTCATCACATGCTTGTCTGATCAGCATCAAGTTGGTAGAATATAGCACCTTTGCTATGTAGCACCAGATCTCGCGTTTGCGTCTTTCGATATCAGTTATTTTTTTAAAAATCTTCTAATGGCTCGACCTAATCTTCGTCTTCATTGATGAGTTTGTCCAGTGAAGGATCATCAAATTATGTTGGTTTCATTGAAAAGATCGCTAATTGAGTTGCAGTCTCAACTCTGTTTTGACTTTTTCAAATTTTGAAATGTTTCAAACATCAGTCAACAAGAGTCTCAAGCTGGTCCATAAATTGTTGGAAACAAGATTAGAAAAAACAAGCAGCTTTTGTGAAAGAGACCGTGTGATTAATTGTTTGAATTACTAGAGTTTTTAGATTTTTGAGTGAGAGTAAGTTGTTGGGAAGTTTTGTAGCCATGAAAAATGAATCACTTTTGGGGGTAATTATAGTTGTTTTTATTACGTAGTAGCAGGCACTGGCGTGACATTGGTATTTCCAAAATCCAAATTCCATACAGGCACCTATCAACCAATTTTTATCTCACTTTTTAAAGTTTAATTCAAAGTAGCTCATCAGGTTTGATATGATTGCATGATTGAGGTCCAGGTTGAATGAATTTTTAATCGAGAAAATTCACAAAAAACACGAGGTTCAAACGGCTAACAGCAACTTACCCGCATAATTGCGAGCATTTCGTCTCTTGTGATGAATCCGTCTCCGTCTATGTCGTAGATGTCAAACATGAACTTTACTTTCTCCTCAAAAGAACCTCTCGATGTTACGCTCAGAGCAGCTATGAATTCACGGAAGTCTAAGACACCTGAACACCAATGGATGAATAATCTTGCTCTATTCGACCTATCAGTCATCCAATTTAAATCTATAGAGACTCTAAAAAGACCCCGACAACTTTTTGCGCCATGGGTAGCTTTTTGAAACAAAACAAACAGGCTAAAGATCAAATTTTTTAGGTAATTTTTGATAGGCTTAGACCAAAAACCGCTTTTTTTTCGGGTAGCCAAGACGCCCGTAGAAAAACTTTGGGTTTGTTTGACTTTGCGTGGGTGTAAAATTTCACCAAAATGGACTCTTTGAGTGGTCAAAGGTTAATGGCTACAAAAGGTCATATGTTTCTGGTTGCCTACTTCTTCTTAAACCTTTAAGGCACGAAATTATCAGGTAAAGAAAATTGAGTAAGTTTTTTAATATTCTAGTGAGAAGAATTTTACCAGCCCAAAAAATCGCCATAACATGCTCGTTAAATTAATCTTTTTGATTTGATCATCCAACTGGTACGATATGTTTTAAAGATCGAAATTATGCTCCTGTTCGATCTGCAAATTTTCTTTTCCAATTTTAAAATCAGCCCATTTTGATTTTTTAAATGTACTTTTTCTCAGCTTGTTATTTGTTATTTGGTTTTTTGTCAAGGTGTTTCAAACTAACCGTCTCCATTCAAGTCGACTGCTCTGAACAAATACATTGCAAACTTGTCCTTATTTCTTTTTCCTTGATTGTACTTCACGCTGAATTCTTTCGGGCTAATTTTTCCAGTTGGAAATTCTTTTGAAAACACCTTGTACCACGCATTAATCTCTTTCGTCGTGAAACTTGTCTTTTGACTGATTGATCTGAGTTCTTTTCGTTTCAACTTGCTGTTTGATTTACCCATATAATTTAACGTTGAAGATAAAAGCTATGCAGTAAAATTGGCTCGTTTAAAATTTTATGATAAGAATTTTTATCATGTAATTTTGATCGCTCTTGCAACGTGTTTGATTCAATTTGATACGTTTTTAATGCTTAAGAATGAGGTTTCAATGGCACTTCTTTTATAACAAGATAAGATATTAATATATAAAACAATATACGAAACGAAACGTTCATGTTTTCTGTGATCACTCAGTCAATATAATGATAATTAGAATTATAATAAATTGTTTTCAGGCTAGTATACCAGTAATGATTGTTAAAAAACCGCATTTACAACCAATAAACATTAGCCTGAGATTTAGTCATGAGATTTTCTGGTGCGTTTTCAGGCTTCTCTGAGCGGAAGAATTGAATTGTTTTTCCAATTACGTACTCCAATTTTTATCGGAATCGACCAAAACGCAAAAAAACTCAAAACAGTACGAGCTTTCTGAAAAAGAAAAGAAAAAAATAGGAGTAAGTAGAAAAATTAACCTGTTGAAATGTTATAATAAAATTCCTAGCTGTATATTATGTTCAATAGATCTTCATTGTTCAAATGAAGTTATCTAAGAAAAGGTGGTTCTTTCTTTTTGAGGTTGTTGTGGGCATTTTCTGGGTAAACTCATCCCAGTATATTCCAAAGTTAAAGACGCAACTGTGCTATTTTTTTAATTTTAATGCAGTGAGTTATTTGTTATGTAACAAGCATCAGTCGTTAAATTTTTCGAGTTTTTTTTGTTTTGATATTTAATTAGGTATTCTTCAGCTTTTTCGTTGCTTAAAGTATCTACTGGGCAATTTTGTTGGTGTATTTTTTTCAATGTTTTAAAAACTTCATATTTATGAAGTTCAGTAAGTGTGTATACATTTTGTGTGCTTCCCGTGCTACTTTTTTTGAATCCAATTTACGAGCAAAGCAAATTTTATTAATTTAAACAAAATGAATTTCAAACTTTGTTTTTTTTTTAAATTATACTAGAAACAGAATGTTCACTGAAAATCCAACCAACCCAGATAACTTGACTCTGAACGCTATTCAATTTTCTACAAGAAGCATGCAAAAGTTCCTTGGAATTAGCTGTGAAAAAAATAACTACTCTAAATTACTTCAAGAACACAAAATTGCTCAAAAACTGAAAATCCTAAGAAAAACACATTTTTGCGAGCCCAGTTTTGAATGAAAATCGTTAAATGTATTTTTGATAAAGTTAAAGAATTACTTGACTCTCCATTTTTTGACGTTTGAGATCGAAATTTCAAAGAATTAAAAGAATATCATTTATTTGCAGCGGCAATTTTTAAGATTGGACCACCATATCTGTACAGTTTTCAGGTTCTCACTCATCATATCTCAGTAAATTTTGGCTTACAAAAGCATGAAGAAGTTTTAGTTTTCCTTTTTGTTATATGTTCACTCACATACAAAAATATAGAAAAAAAATTTGACCATTTAGACAAATTTGAATAAATTTGAAACGATTTTTGAGTAGATATAAATCACCACCTTGCTGCTTCTTAATGGAAAAAAGAAAATTATTCCCGCGTTAATTATTTCAATCTGATCAACTTGTTAGATATGACCCCCTCACTGACCAAAAAATACCCTATTTGGTACTTCTATATCACATCCATTTTCAGCTGACCGGCTACAAAATATGCTTGAAATAGCCCAACTTTGGCTATTTCATTGCATTCATAAACAAAAAAATGCAATGAAGTAGAGCCCATATTACTTTCTGAAAAAATAATTGAAATATTGAAAAGGTGTATTTTTTGATACTCTTTATGAAAACCCTTTTTGATACTCTTTAGGAAATTTTTAAGAGGAGTTAACAACTATTAAGAACTTTTCATACTAATTCATGCAAATTTTTCATGCGAATTTTTATGCGTTTTGAGTTATCCCTCACACCAAAATCGTTGACTAATTCAGGAAATTCCTAAATTTCCTGAATTAGTATGAAAAGTTCTTAATAGTTGTTAACTGCTCTTAAAAATTTCCTAAAGAGTATCAAAAAGGGTTTTCATAAAGAGTATCAAAAACTACACCTTTTAAATATTTCGATTATTTTTTCAGAAAATAATATGGGCTCTACTTCATTGCATTTTTTTGTTTATGTTTAAGTTTCAATTTTATTGGCACGCTTCATTTTTTGGCAAGGACACCCAAAAAATGTTCAAATCCGGTGGTTTTGACCGGTTTTCTTAAAATTTTCAAAACGTTTCTTCTCTAAATAGCAAACTGTTTATCAGAGTGTTTCTATTTTTCTATTTGAAATTTTGTTTTAGGAGCAAAAAAGAATCCAAACATTGGTCGATCTAAGAAAGTCAACAACTGCTTTTGAAAACATATGGAAATCCGGCACACTTGCCAAAATCATAGATTTATTTATGCGTCTAATAAGATAAAATCTGATTGTGTCAAATGTAAATGGACGTAGTAAAGAAAATTATTTAGATAGTGAAAGTTTCGTGTTAATTTGTCGTCTTATAAGGAAAAGGCTTAAAATTTCATCTTGCTTAAGTTTAATTTTTGGCTATTTGATTTTCGGTTTCTTTGTCAGTTCAATTTCATTTGCTGAAGGCAAACTGCGCTCTTCACAAATGTTTTTATTTTAAACTTGTTTGTATAGTTACGGTTATTGCCCCGATATTTGAAGAAAACAGAATATTTAACCTTGTGGTGGTTTTTCTTATTCAGTCAATTTTCGGTGACCAAAATAATAGTTTTTGACAAAAAAACTTATGCTCCATTAAAGATATCGACTCTCCAAAATTTTAATTTACTGAAATATTTTACCTCCGATCTTTTTTGCAAACTTCTGGAGTTTGGAAACTGCCAATTTGGCCCTGCTGTGGACTAATTTATGCGCAGTTTGAACATTTTATTCATTATGCTGAAAGTGTAACGCGAATTTTTTATGCTGTTGAGTTATCCCTCACACCAAAATCGTTCCAAATTTAATTGAGGCTAGTTAATTGGTCGTATTAATTTCTTACGACTCAAATTTCTACACTTGCTCTTTGATTTTGTCCAAAACTTTAAGTTTTTAAATATTTTCCCCAAAACTATTCGATATGGATAAAGGGGCAGTCGGATCAATCAGGGACTTGCCCTGATGTACGCGCAGTCTGTTTTTTTTTCAGCATTTTATTCTCAAAGCTATCAAAATATTGTTTTGAGACAATTTTTCCAGACTTTCCTTTGTTTCGGGTCTCGATTTTGACGTATTTTATAGAAATATTTTCATATTCTGTAGGATCATTTAGTTTGAAGGATCATAAAATCTTCTTTGTTTAAAAATGACATTTCTTTTCCATATATTGTAAGTTTTGTATTTTAAGCCGACGATGGCGACTAAAACGACAATGCACTCGTCTCCATACCTTCCAATAAAATGCAAGAGTCTGAACAACCCAGATCCCCTGGAGACCTGGCGTCACATTCGGGATCCGAAACTGCATCGTTGCAGGACCCTTCCGAACCACCACTCCACCCAAAACAGTTCTGGTCAATCAGACGAACACGGGTCAGACAGCCAGAGTAGCGGTGGGGGGAGCGGCGGAAAGTTTTCCGCAAACATCCAGGACGAAAACTCTTTAGAACATTCCAATTTAAGCTGTGCGTCTACAGTTTTAAAACAACCAAACCAAATTCAGAAAAATCAAAATGAAGTACCCAAAATTAATGAAAACTATTATGAAAACAATGAAACTGTTGAAATTTCACACGCCAATCAGTCAAGAGAAACTAACCAATCAGAAAAAAGCTCGAATACTAACGCAAACACTGCAGATTTACGAGAAACCCGCGCTCCTATTGGTCGAGATTTGATGTCGCCAACTGCTGTAGCCGAAAAAAGTTTGATTCTGAGACGAGATACGCTTTGGCAAAACGAGCATGGCGAATTATATCGCCTTTTGTGTCCCAAAAACGACCTGCAGGGCAACGAGTTACGAAGTGCCAAACGCAAAATTGCGCAGGAGGTTTCTACCGACAATAATCTTGACGACGACTATTTGTCGGATACGAATCACGACGGCTGGAAAAGTGACTCAGAGCTAGTGCTGAGGGAGCGAAAAGTGACGTTTTCCGAGAAACCGCCAGAAGTGAATCGGATCCCAGCGCATTCCTCCAGTCCTCCGGACGAACTGGTTGCCGAGGAGATTCCGGTGGCGGAGAAAAAAAGATCCCGCTCCATTAAACGGAAACTGCAGAAAATCACCCGCGATTTGGAAAACTCACTTAAAACTTCCCGGGAGGTTTGAATTTTGAGTTACTTTTGGGCTTTCAAAACTTGCCTCTAATAAGCTTATGCTTTCTGGGTCCGCTTGGTATCAGAAAAATCGAAACAATTTGATACAAATATTAAGATAGAGCTTAAAAAATATATAAGAGTAAGCTTCCATAAAAAGGTTCTTCTTCCACGCTTTCTTAAAACAATAAATTAACCGCGTTATGTCAAAATTCTTCGAGCAACTTGTGTTCAAAACATCTAAGCACCTTTTGGAAAATTTACACCAAACCAGGGGCGGAATAAGGAGGGGGGGGGGGGGGTTATACACCTTCTTTTTCATGGATTAGACATCCATTTTTGGCGACCAACCCTAAAAATTTTCTAGAGGCGCCTTTGGCGCCAATACGAACTAAATTTGAAGGGGAGCGCGCGCCCAATAAACGCGATTTTTTGGTTTAAAAAATCCAAAAATCGCCCAAAACGGCATGTTTTACCTGTTTCTTTTTTCAAAGATTTGCCAGAAAATTTTGTCAAATAAGGGTCTTTATAGCGTTCCGAGAGCGCTCTGAACATTAGTTTGGTCGTCCTATTAGAAAGGTCGACAAAATTTTCGATTTTTTAAATGAAAATCCGCCCCATCCCCTTGCGCGAGAAATCCTAGATCCGCCGCTGCACCAAACAATTGTGTTTTTTTTTATGCGAGCTCCTCCTCTCAAACTTGTTAAATTAAGATCGAAGGTGCTGAAAATTTTTAAAGTTCGTGAACCAAAAATTTGGCAGCGAGAACTGAGATAGGGGGTGGGGATTGTTCAGCGGTCACATCTTTGCTTGGCATGTCATTGTTGCATGTTAAGTGAAAGTCAATTCAGTTATATAAACTGTTAACTTGATCTACTCAAGTTCTTATTCTATTTTTTTATTTAAACTTTTTGCTCTTGTTTTTAAGCGCTCGTCTTCGCAACAAAGCGGCAGCAGTGCTGTTCCCGCGACATCATCTTCAGGCATCACAGCTGTCGCCACTCCTGGATCCCGTTTCGTAATGTCGCAACTTCAATCTTCACCTGTTCGTGTGAACAATTGGGCTATTCAGGGAGACCCCTATCTCCCCAAATTTATAAAAGGGGGAGGGGTGGACTACGCCCAGTTGAACAAAACCCATTCCCAAACAAACTCCGCTAGAGCTTCTCGCGATTCAAGCCCCTCCCCCTTGAAAAATGTTGGGACGTCTGTTAAAAGACCTATTAACGCATCCGACAACTTAAAGAGTCCAGGTGAAAGTTCAGCGATCATCGAGACATCCTTTTTTAATCCGAAAAACTCTGCAAATTTTCAGCCAAATGTTTCGCCTGCAAGCTCGCCATTGGAATTTCCAAAACAGAGATACGGGATGCCAAATACAGTGCTACCGCAACAACTTGCGATGGTTCCTCGGAACCGCGGTTGCTACTACCGGCTCTTGGACAACGGAGTCCTGGAAGTATTTTACCCTGACACGAATCAAATTTTCAGATATAAGTTTGGCGCCGAGCAGTCTAATGATGATAAATACACTCGGATCCGAAACACGACAGCGCCCGAACTCACCGGCTCTCAGCTCGGTTCGGGTGGATCAACCGAGTGGAAGCCTTTTGGACTTCCAAATATGGTAATGCCAATGATGACTCCAACAAACCTTAATAGACCGAAGTTGCCATTAGCCCAAAATGTCAATTCCAACCGAAATAGCCCTCAATGGATGGCAAAGTTAGTCGATAAAAGAAGTTCGGTCGACGCTGAATTCCATACTCGGTTTCCGTTTCCGCAAACTTATCAGATTGCGAACTTCAAGTCGCCTTCTCGTAAGAAGACCACTTGGATTTCAAACACGACCTCAACTATCAATTCGGTTTTCGATCTCGTCAAGCAAAGTAAGTTTTCGATAATTAAATGTATCAAACTTTATTTAAAAAAAAAACTAAAATCTTAAGCTGTAAGTCAGCTGCGCAGCTGATAGTAAAAAAATAGATTCAGATTTCGGTTTTAACTTTTACCAAATTCCAAATGGTTTGAAAAGACTTAGCAAAAATACGGGATTGCAAGTTAAAACTTTTTAGCTGATAGTTTTTGTTGAAATAACAACTTATGTTTCAGAGAAAAAGTGATCGTTTTGAACAATCTTCAGTTTACAAGAAAGGTGGATCCAGAATTTCAGATTATACTTATGGATAGATAACTTTTATTTGGCAATAAATTCTATTTATTTCATATTCTGAAGTTAGTTGACTTTGTTTATTTTTGTACTGAAAACAGTAAAATTTTTGTTGCAATACTAAATCTATAATAACTTTAATTTGAACAAATATGTTTTTGAACAATAAATTTTTAACTCCAACATAAACAATCTGAGACGCAAACCTAGATTATATAGTCTGATTTTTTTCTAAAATCATCTGGAATAATTAGGTTCCGATCTAAGATTGAGTTTTTGTGTGATGTAAAATTGTAGCTTAAAACAAACGCACAAAAGGGTGACAACTGAGTAAAATAACGAAAAACCAGTAACACTTTGCAGAAGATTTCTCAGATTGCCATTGCAGCATAATGTCAGAAAATATGAAAGAAATTTTGCTTCTCATTATCAAGTGTACCCTATGATAAAAATATACGTTTCTCTAAGATCTGCTCCAATTCTACGCATTTTCTACTATTAAGTGTCTAGTAGTAGAGGTAGCACATTGGTAGTTTGGAAGCAAAAGATATGTTTGAAATTAGAAAGGAAACATTTTTGAGGAATATATATGCTCCGGGTGGTCCTTTTACTCAGACCAAGTTTACAATTTCTGGTCGCTTGGAGCCCTCTCTTGATGTGCAGGGACCCAGACGGGTGTGAACACAACTCTAGTTCCCTGCCACGTGTCTCGTTTTATAAGTTACACGCGTGGCAAATAATCCCGCGCTACAAATTTGTTCCAAATTGAATTTAGACAGCTAATTGATTTAATTAATTCCATACACGACTCGATTTGTAACAAATTTTATTATGATCACTCTCAAATTCATAGTTTTGACAAAACTTATTTCATTACGCGGCCAAATTGTGCACTAGATAGGCGCACATCTTGCCGTATGTAGGTCTCTAGAATTCAGAGGCAAGTTTTTAAAGAGGTTAAAACTTTGTCGGAATGATCAATGAAAACGAAAGAACAAAAGAAGAACAAAAAGAGAGTCTTTGTTGGGGAATATAAAATTTCACAATTTATAAAATACTCAGTTTGGCCCCGTAAGCGTACCAAAAAATGTTGGAGACCATTTAAATGGCAGTCGGAACATTCAGGTCTTTGCCCTGATACGAGCAGTCTTGTTGCTAAATAGAGCAGTTCGACCCAGATCGAGGTCCGCGACTAATTTTTCGAATATGCCGGTCGCAGAAATGTTAACTCCCCTACTGAAAATCTATGGTCTGGACAGAGTTCAAAGTCAAGGACAAATTCTGACAATACCATATCTAGGTTGCGATGGTCAAAAACTTAGTCGCGGACTGAGTCTGAAAATAGCGTATCTCGGTCGCGATAATAGAAAAGTTAGTCGCGGCGGTCGAAAAATCTAGTGATGATTGAGCACAGTTAAATTAATGTACAGAGCAGGATCGGATCTAAGAAACTCTCGAAGGGGGTGGGAAACTTTTGTCGACTTTTTTCAGGTCAACTAAATTGATTTTTCAAGTTTTCCCAAAGCACTAAAAAGACCGTTTTGGTCAAAGTATGTGCACCGCAGGTAAAATAAAAAAAAAAAACAGGCCAAAAAAGGGCGTATTTAGGCTTTTTTTTGGAAAATGTTGACGAAAAAATTGCGTTTTTTCGGCGCGCGCTCCTCCCTCAAAATTAGTATATATTGGCGCCAAAGGCGCCGTTAGAAACTTTTTAGGGCCCATCATCAAATATGGATATTTCAAAATAGTACAAAGGGGGGGACCCTTTGGGTCGGAAGGGGGTCGAATCCTTTATAGGGAGGGCGTCCCCCACTATATCCGCCCCTGGTGCAGAGTCTGATCAGTTGTGGAATTTTACAGTTGCAATATAACGCGCTCTACTTCCAGTTTTTAAAAATAGCGCCTACCCAGCGAGTTGTTTTGAGCTGAAAACCATCAAAAACTGAATGGCGGAAACGCAAATGGCCTTTTAATCAACTATTTGATTCGCTCTTGAAAACATGAGAAAAAAAATCCCCCGAAGAATAAATCGCATTGATGAAAATACTATAGAAAAACTAATTTAACAAAAAACGATGTTGATGATTACATGGCTTAAACTGTGAAACGTTGTTTCATTTTAAAACACGTGCGACCGTATTCTTTTATTGCATTACATTATCAATAAAAACAGAAACACGTACCGTACCGCACGGTAAATATTGTACGCAGCTGATATTTTTATATTTTCTCCTCATTGATTTGAATTGATAAAGGTAAATAAAATTAGAAGAGTCCCTGTAAATTACAATTATTACGACTGTTGGCTCCCCAATTAAAACCATTGAACTGAATACTCTGCAAAAATCAACATTCCCCACCAAACGCATGTTCAACTCTTGGGATTTTTTGTTGCAACTAAATTTCAAAAACTTAGCTTAGCTTAAAGTTCTGAGGTCCCCGAAACTTGATCTTATACATTATCATGTTTTGGGGATTTTAGAACTTTCAAGCTTGAGCTACATTTTTTGGCGAAAATTGGAGTGTTCAAACAAAAGTTATTTTGCAAACAAAAACTGCATTTGTACAAGCTGTTGCGAAACATACATTTTTGAAAAATATGCGAGTCAAAAGTTCTAAATGGGAGCTAATATAAACAATCTAATCAAAATCTAATTAATATCAAAAAGTAGATTTGTCATACAGTAGACATGTCATAAGCCAATCAGAATCGAGATAAGAAAACAAACAAACGAAATGTTTTCTGTTCTCGATTCTCGATTCCGATTGGATTACAAGCTTAGTTTTTGAACTGTCTACTTTTTGCTAATTAACCATATCAAATGGATAAAGTTTAAAATTTTACGGGACTCTTCTACCCTAGAAGTAGATTGTCGGAGCAAGAATGAGTGTGGATCGTACCTCGGAGGCCAGTGAATACCTGAAGAACCACAGGATTCCAGAACTGATGGAGAATCTGACGTCACAACTAATCTACCAACAGCCAGGTTCAATTTATCATTTTCACATCTCTACAAAGCTTTTAAGAACGAACGAGCCTAGACAGACTGGTTAGCCTTCGGTATATCCTCTGCGAATTGCAGAAACCACAACAATTAACTTTTTAGGATCTTGTCAACCTTCCCCCATTCTACAAAAGGGGACAGGAATTCGATACAAAGTAAAAATTTGTATATGCTTAACTGTTCAATTTTTCTTTAAAAATAGGGGTACGTTAGGTGGTGAGAGTGAGGGTAGTTAACAAGATCTTAATATTATTTTGATATTCGCTTTAAGTAAGCTATCCACTAATCAAGCTTCACCGACAATAGGTATATCAGAAAAAATATCAGTTGATGAAGTACAATCCAAAAAAAAAACAGTTAATATTATCTTGGACCCTGAACAATTAGTGGATGAATTAGAAGAAAAAAATACGACTTGGTGTTTTGTTCATAGACCCTAACAAAGCGTTTTAGATAAAATATAAAATTTTCATAGAAATATGCGATCTACACGGTAACGGGGCAAGTTCCTTAATTTTTGAAGTCAAACCTTGAGAATCGTTAACAGCAACTTGTAAAAATTGAACATTTCAATTGGACATTGAAACAAGCAAGTTGGGTGTACCACAAGGTTCAGTCCTGGGTCCTTTGTTGTTTTTGCTTTATTTAAATGACTTGCCAATAACCTGTCGGCAGCATAGGTAGTACTGGCTGCGGATGATTGTGCATTATATACAACAACAAAAACTTGAAATCAACAGCAGGAGATCATCAACTGCAGCAAGATTGAAAAATGGTTTTTAGAGAATAAGCTCACTATAAACAAGAACGAAACAGCCACCTCAGAAGTTAACAGAGTAAACGTTATACCAAAATTTTTAGGTCTATTAACTAATAAAAAGTTAAAATTTAAAGTTCACATTGAAAAACTTTTAAAAAGTTAGCTGAAACATGTTTTACGTTACGTCAATTCAGATAAATTTTACACTTCTACTCTGCTCAGTTTATACAAAACACTTATTCAACCTGATGAAAAAACATTTAACTGGTAAAATTATGTTGAATAAATTTTTCGAAAATACTTAGTGAGAATTTGCATTGAAATAAAATGAATGGTTTTGTTAGCCGAAGTTCAAAATAAATGATCGCGGTATTGAGAGAAAGGACCCGGTCTCTACGTATGTCACTCATGAAATCCTACCGCAGTTTTGGTTACGAAGAAGATTTGATACGAGCATTTTTGATCTTTTTGAGAATGGAATGTTTTTATAAAAAAATTAATTTGGAGTGGTACTTGAAGTCGAAGAAAAAATTGCATGAATTGCATTTATTAGGGTCTATGCATTTAGGGTCTATGGCAATTTGACATTTACATTACAACCGGGGGAGGATTTAGGGGGGCATATATTATAACTACCTGTCAAGAAAAGTAGTGTGGTCAAACTCATAATTTTTTTGTCGCAATTTGGATTAGTTTTAGGAGTGGGTCCGTGAAAAGTAGTGGATTTGAGCGAGACGGGGGGGGGGCTGATCCCCTATCACTTAAGCATTTGTTCTCCTTCCGAACTACCCAGAAGCTGCCCCTCTTGGTACTTGTTTGGCTTCCATTTTTGCTCGGCTAGCCCAAAATATTTTCTAATCACCCCAAGATGCACATGTTTTTTTTCTAAAATCATCAAAGCTTTATAGAGCTTTGGAAGACTTCGGAAAATCATTTTGGTCGAACTAAAAATATATATATTTTTTCAAAATCCGACCCATTGAGGAAATACTAGATTTGCGCCAGAAAATAGTAGCATTAAGTTTTATAGGATTCTAGATGCAGACAGAGGCCATCCATTGATTGCGATCCGTTTTGAAATTTTCAGTTTTATTTATAAAAATTTGTTCCTAGAAAACCCCCGTGAGTTTCTGAAGGAATACTTGAAGAGTCTTAAAGAGGCGAAGGAGAGGAGGGCAGATGGGCCAAAGCTGTTTGGACCGGACAACCTCCAGTCTCTCTTCGGCATGCTGGACCCAGTGGGATCCGGACACATCACTCGCCTTCAATACCTCGAGGGTCAGCATTTTCACTCGATTTTTTGATAAATTTATGAAATATTGAAAATTGAATTTAAAAAGTTCCAGTCTGAGACATTATTAATCAGATGATTATTAGGCCTGTTCGAAGAATTACTGATCTAGAGATGGGTTCAGGCCTTTTAATAAATTATAAACAAAAAAATAATTGCACTCAGCTTTAGATCACTGTTCTTTTCGGTTTAATTTCATTGCCTTTTTTTGCTCATACTTTTTTAAGAATTAGGCAATTTTTATTTACTTTTCTTTTTTGTTGAATTTTTGTCGAACTAAAATGACGGCGAGAGAGTGGGAAAAAACGGGAGTGGGAATTTCATTTTTTCTACCATATAATCATCTACTTACATTAAGTTGATTAAATTTTGACGTTAATTAAACTTTGACCTTTTTAAAGGTACAAATACATATTAAAAAAACAGCGACCAAAGTGCAATTTTCTGGCCAAAAATGTGAAAAAGCTCATAGGTATCAAAAATTTTCAAGCGGTGCATAATCTTTAAGCAAAATGATTTTAAAAGAAACGAATAAAACTTTTTGGTCGACTTAAAAAACAGTAGAAAAAGTTGTCGATTCTAAACTGCTTTATTGTTTTGTAACGAAAGTAACGGAATATTTGTGCTCGTGGTGGTTTTTTTCTTCAGACAAATTTCGACTTTGTAAATAGCCATTTTTGATGGAATTTTTCATATCATTCAAAAACTATTGTTGTCATGAGCTTAAATTTGAAAAGATATTTTACCTGCAATTACTTTTTGTAAATTTCTGGGGGTTTAAAGATTGCCATTTTGGCCAATTTGGGACAATTAACGCGCAATATATTCCGCGCTATTAACGCTTAGGCGGAGAGTTAATCCGTTTTAGAAATGGTTCCAAATTGTTTCAAGGAAGCTTATATGCCATAATTGGCTTGTTAATATGATCAAAATCTATCACTTTGTACTTTTTATGTGTGGGGGATGATTTTTACAAGAAACCTCAAATTTAAAACTCATCATTTTTGTTAATTACATTTAATTTTTTTCAAGTTATTACGAGGCAGTCTTGTTTAGTAGTTAGTGCAAATGATGCATGCTTGATTCATTTAACAGTAGAATTGCAAATTAGATTAAGCGACTCTTTCTGCAGAACAAATTTGATTAAATGGATTTCAGATTAAGCGACTCTTTCTGCAGAACAAATTTGATTAAATGGATTTCAGAGGAGGAAAAAGGAAATTTCCTGGATTTTTTAAAAAGAAAAAATAACAGTTTTAATTAAAAGTAAATTGATTAAATTGAATTAGATAATGGAACAACTTTTATGATCCAATGAAAAGGGATTCAATTTCTAAAATCTACACCAATAACCAATTATTTTGTAATGAACTTTTGTCATGAACATTCATCCAATTTTCAGAACGCTTCTTCTCATTAAGCCTCCAACTATAATAATACAATAGATTTCAGATACCATGGAGACCAACAGCAGCTATTTTGGTCCTATTCAAGACGTTAGCGAGTTGTTCTAAGAAAAGTATAAGGAACACTGCCATCTGAATATTATAGAATCCTCAAAACATTTTCTAAAACTCATTGAAGGGCATTTTTATATTAGTTATTTGGATAATAAAATAAAGTACTTAACCTTATTGCAAGGCGCGTTCAGTTTAAGATCACAGGATCAGGTTTTTGATCCCCCGCGATGGCAATGATAATTCGCTAGGGTGAGCTCTCACTTGACCTCTAGCTTCAGGTTTATCTCAGCCGCCTGACTGATTAGTTGCAATAGTTGAACCACTCAAAATTTCTGCAAGAAATTTGCCGCTTTATATGAAAAGCAGAGCAGGTTTTCGCCATAAAGCTGCAAATTTGAGTACCCAGGTCGAGGTTCGTTACTAATTTATTGACTTTGTCGGTCGCGAAAAGGTTAATTCTGCGACCGAAAATCCATAGTTTGAACAGGGTCTTAAGTCACGGTGGTCAAAAAATTGGTCGCGGATTGAGTCTGCAATTACCGTAATTCTATCGCGGTGTTCAAAAATTGGTCGCAGACTGAGTCTGGACGTAGCGTATCTCTCGCGGCTTGATCAAAAAATTATTCGCGGCATGGTCAAAAAGTTGGTGACCTTAGGACTTTCGAGGAGTTGAACTCGGGTCTACTGTGTTCAAACCGACCATGCTAGCCATTATAACTTTTGGTCGAACCAGTCGAAGCATAAATCCCAAACCTCGATCCGGTAATTTTCTTCAGTCGTTTTTCATCGATTGCTTTTAATTTTCTTCGGTCGCGCCTGTCGCGGTTAATTTTTCTTTGGTCGCGCTCGGTCGCGGTTAATTTTCCTTAAGTCTGGAAATACCAAACTTTGGTTGCGGCGGTCTGAAAATGTCCAATTTCTGCCTCGGCAGTCTGGAAATACCAAAATTTGGTCGCGACCGTCAAACCACAAACTCGACCCGGGTAGCGCGCTTACCTCTTATCTTTAATCAAAGTTATTAGATTTTGAACTAATTTGCAAATATCGCGAGTTGTCGCTCTCTTTTTATTTTTGAATTGTTTTTTGTTACCAGTTCTTTTTTGTTGCGAGCTATCGCGGTGCTAAGTTCATGAGTTATACTGGGCTATCTAAGCAAGCGATATTAGGCAAACATCTGGTAGGTTAGACATCTGAAACTGGGAATTGTAGTGTAATCATCCAAATTGACCAGAAAGGCACTGCCATTTGAGTAATATAGATTTTTCTAGACATTTTTCTCTCCAGCTCATTGATATGTACTTCTAGATTAATTTTTCGTATTTTAAAAGAGGCACGTAGTATAATGAAGGTGTTCACTTAGATTAGTACCGGTTTTTCGATCACCTGCGATGGCATTGATAGTGTGTGAGGATGAGCTCTCACTTGACCTCTAGCTTCATGTCTGCCACAGCTTGACAGATTTCGAATGCAATAGTAGCATTACATGAAGAACATACAAAAAAGACATTGAGTAACAAAAAAGAATTTCGCTCAGCAAAATAATTTAGCGTGGAATGCGGGGAATTTTCAGATGCGGACTATGATTATACAGTCTTAATAGCTTTTCATAGAACCACAGAAATATCAGTTTTTGCGATGTACAATGGAAAAAAAATTATTAGGGTCAAGTCACATGATCTTTGAATAAAATCCTTGTGTTTGAACTTTCAAACATTGAATTGAAATGTGACTTTTTGTACTTGTTGTGTTGGTTGAAAATGAGCGGGAGAACCTCTTGAACTTCCTTTAGTTTGCATCAGAAGCTGATCTGATTCCAACAACAAAAAATAATGAAAAATATTGAAATTGTTTGATACCAATGTCTGATTCGCTTGACCTGAGAGGCCCTTTATATCTGATTTATTTTGTTTCAGCTATGAAAATTCTAGGAATTCAGAACTTCGGCCAGCACGAGGATAAGCCAACTATAGACTTTGATCTTTTTGAACAGGAAGCGTAAGTCAATTTATTTTTTTATAAAATCTGTTAGGCTACATTTTTTACAGAGCCAAAAAGTAAATAAGACACCTAGACGTTTTTTCAAGTTTTGTGGATTGTTGTAATAAACCCTTTCATATAGATTGGCGGCTTTTGCAAATTTGTGCGGGCAACTGCGTGATTGAGATTTGAAAAATGGTTAGACCAATTTTTAACATCCTCCCCCTAAAAGGATATTAACATAGCTCTAAAAAGAAACTTTTAGCCAAATAAAATAACGTACAAGTAGTGAAGTGGAGGATCTTAACTTGAACTGTTTAGAGAAGGGAGGGGCAGAAAAAAGAATGTTAAGTTGATTCAATGGTTTGGTTTTTAAATTGAATTAATGATCGTAATTAAACTTCTCTCATCACATTAATGACGGTATATGCGTGGTATATGATCTTTTGTTGAGGTTTGAATTGCCAACAATGCCAAACTTTGAAAACATATTTTTTCTGAAATTTTTATTTGCACAAAAAAATACACCAAGCGTAATTTCCAAGATGAGCATAACGTATTTTATAGCTGTAATTTTCGAAAATGCCCATGGAAAAGCGATTTTTCAGTTTAGCATAAAATAAATAGTTTAGTATATTAAAATTGAAGCTAAAACGACTTATCCACGAGGGAAAAGACCAACATACGAACTGTTCAGCTCTTACCAAATATTTGCTGTTGTGCCCTTTGTTAAGATTTAAATTTTTTTTTTGGGGCTGGGTTATTTTTTTTCTGGACTGGGTTTATTTTTGTCTCACACGCAAGCAACGAGCACTGAATTTTATCTTGATATGAGTTCTTTGTTTAGAACCCATGGCCTGTCAAAAGCTTCCACGACATACAAGAGATGAGTGCAGTCGTCTCGTGACCCAGACCATATCACAGACTGAAACCATGAATTTAAAAAATATATATTTAGTAATTTCACAATTCGTTTTGATGAACGCTGCAGGCCTGATTCTGATACCTTTATTGTAGCCTTTTCTCCATGTTTAGTAAAAATGCCACCTTTTTTTCTCAGAGAGTTTTTTCTATGTTTTTCAAAATTCCTTCAAAAATTAGGAGCAACCTTTTATAGCACAGAATATTCCGACCACCGTTTAATTTGTAAAAAAAAACAATTTTGTGTCTGGAATATTTGTGGTTTTTTGGGGGGTTGGGTTGGGGGGACGTTGAAGTGAGGGGACGGCAATTTTTTGAGGTGCCTGCAACTTAGCGGAAACAATCTCACCCAATGCATTAGCTTCTTCCAGTCATTTCCAGTGACCTCGTCGAAACAAAGAAAAAACCAGTAACTGCCAATCACACATGGCAAATCTATTCAATTCTATATTCTGTAAATGTTTCATCGAACCATTTCATTAGTGGTTATGAAAATTATGGTTTCAACTGGTATAAAAAAAGCGCATTTTAATCGATTCAAGAAAACGTTCAATATTGTTAATGGCTAGCTCCCCTTGAACACATGTTTTGATTACAGTTAAAAAGAAGCAGTGGGTTGTGATACTCCAGTTATATTTTTATCAGATCAAAAACGGTATGCCAGCATCAACAGAATCAAATTGCAAAACAAAAAAATGCAAAGTTCACTGGGCTCAATTCTTTTCAGAGTTGATGAAAAAGAAGAAACAGCAGCGACAAAAAGCAAGAGAACTGTTTGATGAAAACAAAATGACTTGGAGCATAGATAAACCAGAAAAATTAGGTTCATTAAACGAAACGAGAAGTACAACTACTCAATCAAAATGATCAAAGAAATTTTTGAACATAAGTCTATTTTTAAAAATCTGTGTTTTTAACTCGATAAAAATTGGTTTTCAAAGATTTTCATATCAAACTGGTATATCTTAATGAAAAGATTGTTAAAAACAGCAGCTCATCCATTTCTACCAATCATATATTCAGCCAGTTTTTGAATATGGCGTATTATTATACAAGTCATCATTGAAATATAACCTTGGCAAGGTTGATCTTCATATAAACTGATTAATTGAATTCTTAATCTTCAAGAAAAAAATTAATCGGTATAACTTTTGCGGAAAAAAGGAAAACTTGTAATGCTAATGAGCTTCATGTATACGAAATCTTGAAACTTCCATGTGGAATTAATCGAGGTGAAGGGGTATTTGGGACTCTTTCCTATATAATTACATCCGATGAACTGATCAGATTGCATAATAATCAAAAGAACAGCAGAAAAAATTAGTGAGCAACTCTAAAAACAACGTAAGTACTCGATTGATACTATAAAATGAAAATAACGAAACTGTCTTACAATCGCTTGCCGCTTGCCTACTTTTATTCTAATTTTTTCTCCTAATATCAGTTTTCACCAATGTTAACATTCTGATTAAAGTTTGCCAAAGTTTTTGCAAAACATTTTTTTAGTAGCATTCATGATTGAGTATCTTAGTAAATAATCATACCGGTGGTACTAAACCACCGTCCTATGAAAATAATTGTTCCGAACAATGGAAATGAGGAGGAACTTTGAAAGTTTTACTCTTTTTGATTTTTTGTCTTAATTCGAGCGAATGGAGCAAGCGAGCAGGCCTACAAGCTAAATGATGCCTAACTTAAGGCCAAAAATGTAATTTTAAGCCAGTAAACTCGTTTTTGGAGTTTTTTAGCTTCATACATACATTTAACACCGGTTATTTAATAAGGCATCAAAGTACGTTTTGGCGTTCAAGTACAACAACGACAATGTTGATCTTAACAAAAACAGTACGGTAACAACAACTTAACTATGGGCGTAGCCTTCAAGTAAAAAGTTTAATCCGTATATTTATTGTAATGAAAAAAAAATTTAAAATCTTAAAATAGCACATTTTATACAATCTCTAGAAAATTTCGTGTGAAATTATTCAAGATTATTGTGAATCTGGGGCTATTTGTAAAATAATCACATCTAATGAACTCGTCAAATTACATAATAATAAAAACAGCAAAAAATAGTGAGTTGCTCTATAAAACAACGTACTTATGCAATCGTTACTAGAAATTCAAAATTCTAAAAACTGTTATTCTATTGTTATTTAATTAAATTTTTTTCGTATTAGTTTTTACTTATTTCGACAATCTCATCAATTTTTTCCAAATTCAAATTGAAACTTAAATTGTTTCGATAGCCTTGAAAATTGAGTATCAAAAAAAAACTTCAACGGTGGAACTAAACCATCGTTCCATTTAAAACCTTACTTTTTTACCCTCAGCGACGTCTAAAAACAGACATAAATCCTTCAAAGACAGTTTTCAGCTGCGTTTTTTTAAAGTGAATTTTTATACAAATTAATTTGATGAACAATGACCTATACTGGAAAAAATGTGTTAAGGTTTTTGGTTTTTTCACTTCAGTTACATTTTCGAAAAAACCTTATTTTTTATTTTTTTTTGTTTCTTGAAACTTTAGTAGTTCAAAAAAGGAACTTATCAAAGATTTTTGCAAGTCGTTTCCAGCATTAGTTGTTTCGAGCCGTTTTTTTTGAAGTTACCTGTTATGATACGGACTGTTCAGTTGTCGAAAGAAATAATTCCAACCTAATTTTTCTATATTGACCAGTTATTAGGGGAACCCTTGCCAAACATACATCTTATAGAAAGATCACTTTGAAGTTGTTAGGAAAAATTGTTGAATTGGTCAAGATCTATACAAACAGCAACTCAACCAATCCTATCTCAAACCGGTGTGTTACCAATCCTATTTCAAACAGGTTTTTTTCATGTGGCGTCTTAAAATACAGCTCGATATCCAAATACAACTTTGACTGTTTTGATCTTATTATAAAAATATAAACCAAAGTCTGAAACTTATAGTTTTTGTGGGAAGAAAATGATAATTTATAATGTAAAAAGTTTCATTTATACGAACTCTTGAAATTTTTGTTGACACTTATTCAAGTTGAATGAGAATCTGGGAATCTTCGTAAAAATATTCACCTAAAGTGATGTTTAAAAATGTTATTATTAAATCTAAAAACAACATAACTTTTCAATCGTTACGAGAATTTGAAAATTTACAACTGCCTCACAATTAAGATTCAAAAGAAAAGAGCTGCAAAAAAAGATTACGATTAGTCACGGGGAGCCCATGAAAACTCCCGTTTCAAAACCAAAAATTGTGCCATTCCACCAGAAGGCACAACCAAACATTTCAAATACAGCAAAAAACGTCGCCTGTACGATAAAAATTTGATGGAAATGGCAAAACTTAGATGGAAAAGGGGGCTAGGAAAATCTCATATTTCTGTGGCTTATTTTTCGATTTGCGGATAAAGACAATATTCGGATAAAGTCTGCCAAGCATATATATGTGCAGGAAAGTGTGGGTTTAAATCCAGCATGTAGGACGATACACACCAAGATGTTCTTGGGTTCATATAACTAAAGTGATGCTGCAGGACTTTCATGAACAGAGGTGATTGAACCCTGGTCAAAGCGACGATACGATTGCATCTCGCTGATGTAGTAGAGACCAGTGCGTCCGCCCTGGCACATCTACAAGCAGGATTTTATGAAGTTGAACTTGGATACAGTTAGTTTTGTTCAGGAAGCCCTAGAAATGTTGGATGGGCGAGAGTGTCCGTGAACGGTTTCGTTTTGAACAAAAAATTGGATTGACTGATCGCAGTTGAGATCAATTTCAACTCGATAACAGCCTTAAAGTCAGCCAACCTTGAGGGACTACCCTCGAACAATACGATGGGACCAGCCAACGCCCGACTTTTTTTCAGAATGTGAGAATCAACCATAAAGAGAGAAGTAGGAATGAAAGACCTGGAAGAACTTTGATAAGACGACCGCCGAACGGGCAACATGTCAAGTTATTAAAACAAGCGAAGACCCCACATGCTCACGTCATGGAAGATAAGACGTATTCAATCAATAATAGCTCATCAAAAAGGTGACTTGCAGCGTAAGACAAAGCCGAAATAAAGAAAGCGAAATTAATGATCAGAAAGAACTCAGATTACCTCAATATCTCGTAGTCATTGTTCTGACCGGACGCAATCATGTTGCCAACAGCCGACCTAGTTTGTATATATTCCCTTTCGATGACCATAGGCGAAGAGAAGTTTGCATAGCAGAAGTCTCCTGGGTATTTTTTGAGAGCCGTCCACAGCTGAAGCTGCTGTGTGGTTCTCCGTAAAGAATTAGTGGAATCAATGAGCGAAATACAGGACATGCTAAGATAAGAATAATTTTAGAAGATAACACCGAGAGAAGTATTCGTGTTGTTTCCTGTTTATGCACAATTATCCAACGGATTGAGATTCGTGTATGCCATCGCTGCGCTGCTGGCAGAAGGGAAAAATGTGTGACAATCCCTGCACCGAACCAGGAGTTTGAGAAGAAACATTATCTGACATATTGAATGCCGTGTTAGAACTGATATCGCATCCATTTTGCATGCTTTTCCTGTATGAAGTTTTGGGATTGGAGCTGTCCAACTTCAGCAGACGGCTGAAGATGGAACCTGGAAGAGATGACAATCGCCATTTTATGAATGATAAGTCGAACGATCTCTGGTTGCGTTGGCATGGGAACAAGGGGAACGAAGAAGAAGCTCCAAAATCAGAGAATGGTAAAGCCTTGGAGGTTTTTAGAGTCATGGTTTTGCGAACTACACCAGAGCTGAAGAAGTAGTTGCACTTGTATCCTCGAATCGGAGCGCTAGTCATGGACGCATTTTAATAGAGTTCCAACAATGTTAGTCAGGATTCACGCCTACCTGCTCAAGGCATTGTATCAAGCAGAACAAAGATGAAACATGATAACCCAAATTGTGGATACATTCAAAAGAAAATCTCTGGATGCATTCTGGACAGAAAACATACCAGGTAAAGACGGCTGCACACGAAGAGACAGCATGCTAAAATGATTCGGAGCAGTCTGGACCGCATCCTTCCTGACAAAGATATACACCGTCC